TGTCATAAAGGCTTAGTCATGTCTCTTGACCAAGCAATGAGCTGGTGCCCTGACAGGGGTTCCGCCCCAGACAATTGTCAAGCTGAAATGTTGTTCTTGTTGAGTGGACCCTTTTCCAATTGGGAATACATCTCCTGATGGCACTTTGAAAAACATATCAACCCATCCTCAGTACTTTCAGTTCTGTCTCTTTGCCAGTACCAGACCTTGAGGATCAAGTTCCTGGAAGGCGCTTTGCAAGCCAGGTTCCAGATAGCAATGTTGCAACATCCTGCTTTATTCTATGCACAATAGACTTGCTTGGACCACATAATACCAACCATCATCTCTGCCCCTGTCCAATGATTGGGATCCTGGTTGCCTGCCATTCTCATGCATGAATTGATCCAGCATGTGGGAACACCGTCGGAGCAATAAAAATGGATGATTCTCAATTTGAAGACCCAATCCAAATCATCCTGCTTGACTACATGTTGATACCTCATGCACAGCATTGAAAGCAGTATCATGGCTGAGGAGAACTGTTTGGGTCTTCATGGATGCTTGTTCTCAGGATTCGCCGCCTATTCCTCCTAATTTCAGTGCTATTTTAGTCTGGTCACCAACATGGATGTGTGAGACATTGTTCTTCTGTCATCCCAACACTTGAGTTATATCTAGCTATGGTGGCAACATGTTTGGGCTGCAGGAAGACCTTCGGAAACTGGGCCAGGCTAAAGCAGCACACAACACAGCAGAAAAGAACCCCATGCTTTCAGTACTCAGAAGTGCACTGGGGTTCTGTGGATAGCAAGGATATGTTGGACTCATCAAGTGACAACAATAACAAACAATGCAAAGATACATTTATGATCAAAGGTACAAGTGTGTTTGACATGCTGCAGGAGAAGCTGGATGCAACCTCCCTTGGTTTCAAACCATTATTGCATACTTCAGATCAAACAAAACCAGGGCAAAATATGCATGATTTACAACATGACATATTCCAGGCTCCTCAACTGGGACTATCTGAGACTCCCCAATCAACATGGAAGTATACCCCTGCTGCCAGCATTCCCCTCCCAGGCCAGAGGGAGACACCTTATGCAGCATATGCTGGCATCAAGGAAGACAGTGATCAATGAGGCCCCTTCTCTTCACCCATCAGCTTTCATCTTGCTCATTGGCTGAAGGCTGAAGGCATAGGTTATGCTGCTACTGACAGGCTCCTGACTCCCCTGGTAAGCTGTGTGTATGCCTTCAGGTTGACACAACTCAACCCCTTCTTGAAGTTTGTCAATCACACAAAGAGTTCTTACGAGTTGAATAAACTTATTGACCATCAGTTACCAGTTCCTCAGCTAGACTGGGAGAAGATAGAGATTCCTCTGGTTGGACATTCTCATATCTTGACCTTTCACTGTCAGTCACTCCTTGGAGCTATTCATTCATTGTTTGGCAGTCTGCAACTTCTAGAACACTCACTTCGCTCCAGAGCAACATTTTGCAGATGAGGCCCAAGAAAATCATCTTTACTCTGAGATGTGGATGGGAAATTGGTGGCATTGAATTCAAGTACCCTTCCTCCCCCCTCCTTCTCCAAACGTTCTCCTAACAACCATGATACAAGGGCAGCTACCTCATGGAGCTACTCTTGTTCCAGTCATACTGGCAATGGACAAAACCCAGCTCACACAATTCTCTGGAAATAGGCAAGGCTATCCAGTTTATTTGATGATCAGCAACTTACCCAAGGAAATCAAAAAATTGATATCTATGCAATCTTGGATGCTCATTGGACTTCTGCCTATGGATTTGTTTGACAAGATGGGGCTGAGCGATGAGGCTGCAAAGGTTGTGTGACAGTGCCTCTTCCACTTTTGTAAGACTCAACTCATACAGGAAATCAAGAGTACTGGCATGGAAGGTGTTGAAATGGTCTCTGCTGATGGTCTTGTCAGACTTTGCTTCCCTATCCTCAGAGGATACATTGGCAATTATCCAGAGAACTGTCTTGCATCTTGTATGGCCTACAGTTCTTGTCCAATTGGAAATATTGGTAGACATGACATGGGACGTTATGGTTGGTATCCTCCACAGTACCTTGTCTCCTGAATCTGGCCCTGTCAATACTACAATGTGTTGTCTCAACATTGAACTGCAGTCAATATCACAGTCTCAAAGTCCTCAACACTGACAGCAAATCCACTTACCTCCAAATCCTGCTACTCATGCAAACCAGAAGACTCAGATCTTACAATGTCATGACAAGGGCATTATCGCTCACCACTGTCCCAGATCCCTTTTTTGCCGGCCTCCCCCATGCTGAGATACACTCCTTGCTCTACCCAGATATTCTACATCAATTGTTACAGGGTATCCTCAAGCATGTTGTCTCTTGGCTAAAGCAAGTATTGGGAGTGCAAGAGCTGGACTGTTGTTTCAGAAGCATCCCTCTGACTTATGGCACTACAGTATTCAAAGATAGTTTTCTGGACTATTCCTGCATGACCAGGAAAGATTTCAAGAAAATTGCCCAAGTTCTTGTTGGAGCCATATGTGGGCCTCCTGTTCTTGTGAAAAAAAGGGGAAGATGGTGTTCAGATCATGAAGGCTACTGCAGCTGTTGTGGAGTTCTATTACCTAGCATCTTTGCCAACCCATTCAGACTGCACACTGCCTTTACTCCGATGGGCCCTTTTAGACTTCCACAAGAATAAGTGGGGCTTCACAAGCCTGGGGGTTAGGAACAATAAAGGAGTGGGAAAAGGGGAGAAAAGTGTGTCATGTTTGCCCTCCCTTTTTACTGCCAACATTCTTTGACTTTTGACTTGCAGCAAATCTATTTTGCATTCTGAAACTTCACTCTCTTGTTCACTATGTGTGGTCAATCGTGGAAGGCAGAGCTCTGGATGGCTGGTCTACAGAAATGAGCAAGAGATTGCACATCGACCTGATGAAGAATGCCTTCTGAGCTAGCAGTGGAAGAAAAGAAACTTCTACAATGGAAATGGCGAAATGGGTTGTGCAACAAGAAGCTATGCAAGAATTTTCCTCTCTCGTGTCTATGCCACGTAAAGGTACCTCATTCTTTTATGTGTATGGTAATACTAAGGTGTCTCATGCTTGCAGAACAACCACATAACTGGAGGGGGCAATGCCCAACAAGAGACATACTGGATTGGAGTTCCACTCTACACCACCTTTCCAAGCAACCAAATTTTCCAAGTGTATCTCTCTCGGAAGTGATTGATCCTGCCCATTGGTCTTGCTCAGAGTTTATGTGCCCTATGCAAGCATACACCAGAAAACACTGCCATGAATGTTCCCAAAGAAGCATGGAGAAACCTATCTCCTTGCCTTTCTTTAATTTGGTTTCCGTGTGGTCAAAGATGCTAATAGACATCAAAAGTGGAACAGAAAGCTTCAAATGTGTTGTTCATGCTTGTCCCAGTTGCAGGAAAGGTGAAAAATGGTTGCTGCGCAATCATTCTGCTTGTTTTGACATGGTGCTCATTGATCAGTCAGAAAAACAAGGCAGTGGCATCAATGGTATGTACACAGCATGTGTGTGTACCTTCTAAGCTGATCTGACATACCTGTATCTTCACATGATAGCCTTTGGCACAGCCCATGTGAAATTGATATTCAGGTTGCTGGTAGAAGCAAGCTGTGTCATGTTGCAGATGGACAACCCCCAGCCTCTTGCCTATGTCAAGTGGTATACTGACCCATGCTCTCAAACTGTTCATGCATCTGGAATGCCAGTCATTGGGCACACATTCACAGAAGATGGCAAGCCCAAGTCAGATATTATCTCATTGCAGTCTATCAGACAACACTGTATGCTACAAGCTATCAGAAAAGACAATGTTTCATGGTCAGCTGAGGAGGTGCTCAACCTCTGCCCCAAATTCTTCCTTAACAAGTTTCTAGATAGACAGCTTTATCAGCTAATAGGTTAGCTACTGCAACTATGTTATTTGTCATCTGAACCTGTTGGGAGAGAATGATCTTGTTCTTTAACCACTCTCAGTCCTTCCTCATCTGTGCCGAGAGGGCCAGATGGTTGACCTCTGCACTGGTACCCCAGACAGAGTCTTCTGAATGGTCTGAAGAAAGCAAAGCTTAATAGAGCGAGACCTACACAAGAGTACCAGAGCTTGATTGCAATGGATACAGAGGGCAGGAGTGCTCAGTATTCTGAGTATCGCTGTCCCCTGTCTTCATCCTGTCACAGATCCTCCACAGCAGCTATCAGTGCTATGAAGGCAAAAGACATTGTTGCCATCAGTCTGTCAGGGCACCAGCTCATTGCTTGGTCAAGAGACATGACTAAGCCTTTATGACATGGAAGTAGCTGGTATACCTTGGCATGTGCTGGAACCTGCTGGAAGGATTGGACGGTCAGGTGACCTGCTGTGCATGGCTGTGCATGACCTCATATGATCTCATCCTTGGTCAT